GAGTATGAGTAGTGGCGATGGCTGGGATGCGTCTCAATTTTCCACAGTCTTTATCTCATATTTATTATGAAATATTTTCAAAAGCTTCTTCGTGTTCCATTATAAATAGACTATAAATGCAACTTCGAATTAGTCTTTATTATAAGGTCGCCGGTTGAAAATGTGCAATCAGGGAGTGGTTAGCATCTCTGCTGGTCCGCTTTGCCTTTTATATTGGCCTCAAGGTTGACTAGCAAAACACTAGACATTTGGAAATTCTTCAAGCCAAAGCCTCCAATTCCTCCTGTATGTTTAAGTCATGTATACCCACCTTCACATTTTGTCCAGCTAACTCTGATTATGGAAAACATTGCAAATAAACTCCATGACAGTTTTCATGTTTCGTTGTTTATATGTTTTATATCAGTAGAAATGTTTGGGCTGTGGGATGTGCACCAGTGACACAGCTGAACTAGTCACTTTTTCACAATTAAGCATCCACCCATCCAGGGTGTTCCCCAGCCTTGTGCCCCGTGCTGGCAGGATAAATGTTTGGAATCCGATGGATCGATGATGGATTAGTTTCTCATTACTTACATTATATTCCATTTATACCCAGGATTTAATTGACTCCCTGTCACTCTACTCTCCGCTTTGACTAATCATCCACTTTCTTCCTGCACACTTCTGTCCAATCAGCAGCCTCGAAGTTTTGGTGCTTACCCGTTTCTTGTGGTCCTGGTGATGGTCCACTTCAAGATGAAACAGGTCAGATTCATTAATATTACTGTATTGTCGCTTTAAAAATGACACTATTTGATGTAGACCAGCACCAAATATGTACAAAACGTGAAATGTCATACTTCTCTGCGTAATACGGTGACCCTTTCAATCCTGGGAAGATGGTGGGGCATGAAGGCAAATGAGAGCCAAGGAATTATGGCTCCGTAATCCCATCTCTCCGCAAGATGAGTTGCTTGAGCTGTTTTACTGCCCTTTCCCTGGCCAAGACCCAAGGACTAAGGTGTAGCTAACCCTCCAGTGTCTCTGAAAGGGCCAGTGGGCCGTCCGCCTTGCTCAAAGAGGCTGGAACGTAATCTGCTTTTCAGATATTAGTATTTCAGATAATTGACCGGATTACTGGTCAGGGACCCTCACCTCACTGGCCAGCAATGACGGCTCCTCCATTTTCTACAGTACCAACATGCTTTTTTATCGTTTTTTTTATCATTCATGCATCCTACAGAAAATGAGATTAAACACTAACTACATCACACCAGGCTTTACGCACACAGCATGGTTCAGGGTCTCGGGCCTTTCAGCACAGCGGCCAATAAAGGACAGGTTTCTCCAGGTGTTGGATGATGTCGTTCTTCGGGTGATTCAGCCAGATAATAATGGATCACACTGGCATGGTTAATGATGTTGGACATTTTTTAAATCTGCATGGTCCGCACCCATTGGGTGTTCCAGAGAGTTCAGGTTCTCTGGAAAAGGGACCAAGACACAGGAATCGGACATGAATTAAGTGGTCCCATGCTTTTCCCATTACCAAGAGTTTCTTACTTTAATAATATCCAGGATTTGACATTGATTAGAGCAACTGGCACAGCATGATATGGTTATAAGATTCCTGGATGCCTTTTTGTCTCGGGGGATTAACTCTCCAGGTGGACACAGGTATGACCTCAGAATCCAATATGGGGGGGCTGTATGACCAAACAAGAGTTGGGGAGACTCCACATCTGGAGACCATTCTATAGACATAATTAGAGCACTTTGGTGTTCACTAACAAGCTGGCTGAGCCAGAAGTTAATGACCAGAGGGCAGCAGCAGAGCTCTCCTGCCGGGCGGCTGGGCTGTCGCTCTCCTTCAGAAGCCTCCAAGCAGCAGAGCTCTCCTGCCAGGCGGCTGGGCTAGCGGCTCTGTCGCTCTCCTTCAGAAGCCTCCAGGGTTTCACACCTCCCCGTCTTTCTTTTCTCATTCACCATGCATCCATATTCAGCAGTCTGTGCGTGTGCATGATCTGCCATTATTTAAAATCGTTTCTTTAAATGTCAGAGGGCAATTTTATATTAATCACTCTGACTAGACATCTATTCATAGACTGGCTGGAGTCTCTATAAAGGCAATTATTGCACGTTCAGCTGGATACTTACCAAGGCAGCCCAGTGTTTTTCTCACCATTTATTACCTCAGTTGGTTGAATAAATGCAAACCAATAAAAAATAAATAAATTTAATAACACGGGTAGCCCTATAGTCATTACTTTGAATATGGCTGGATTGCAGAAGACTTTGCAAAGAACTTTGTTTTCCATCCATTTTCTGTAACTGCTTGTTCTGTTCAGGGTAGTGGGGGGGTCTGGAGCCTATCTCAGAGGCTACGGGCACAAGGAAGGGAACAACCCAGGATGGGGCAACAACCCATCACAGGGAACACTCACACACCACTTACACCCGCAGGCCATTTGGCAACTCCAATTAACCCTTTTTTTTGGAATCAGAATACCCAGAGGAAACCCGTATCACCACTGGGAGAAGATGCCACCTCCACACACAGAAGCATGGTGGAGACCCTGGTCCCAGAGGTGTGAAGCAACAGTTCTAATCACTGCACCACCGCACTACCCAAAACTTCAATTCGTCTTAAATATTTTATGTAATTAAATCAAATGCCCGGCTATATAGTTTCATAAAACCTAGTTTTATCATTTGTGACGGCGTTGTTATTAAGGAAACGTCAGGAAGAGAGGAGTAGCCTACAGCAGTTTTGTTACCGTCGCTGTGTGTGGGCCCGATTTATCAGCGCACGCGATTAAATCCGACTGAAAAGCATTCGGAGTTTAATGAGATGCTTGCTTATTGAGAAACAGACAAAGCAACGCCAACACAGAATATTTACTGCCAGGATGTGCAGTCCTTATTTGGAGCATGGATAACAATAATTTTTAAATGTAACTAAATGTTTTTCTTCCCATTTTGGATATTGCATTTATTTTTCTGAATCCCAGAAAACATCCAATATAATACTTGTTTCTTCCAATATAACCACCGCTTTCTTATAGTATACTAAATGGACATTAAAAGTCCCTATGTGGTTGTCGACTAACTCGTCTGTCGCTGTCATCAGACCCCTTGTCTAGCTGCTACAGCGTCCACATGTTCTCTCTCAGCACTTATTTTTTTCCGGCCGGCTCTTCCCGGAACAGCGTGGTCTTACACAAACATAGGCAGACGCATTCAACCACGGAAAATATGTCAAAATGTCATTTTAAAAAAACGTCTTCTGTACGTGCATTTACTAACGCCAAGGACTTGCACTTTATGACACAGCAACCCAGTCTCTGTTTACATTAGTCCTCCTCAATGACACACGCACCACTGAGGGAAGCTCCTTCAGTATGATAATACATGAGAAGGAGATCAGATTGTAATACCGCAAATCTTAAAATGTATTAATATTAATTCAAGTAAAGTCCATTATTATATCACTAACGAAACAAAAAAATACACTATAAAAATCACATTTAAAAGGCTAAAGAAAGCAACAATTTAAAAAACACGTATTGTATTGCGTAATGCAACTAATAAAATGTTTACTGTGCATTGCATTTATTTTGTAATTCGAATGCTTCTGAAGAATGTAAAACTATGCAGGATTGTCCAAAGCAGGTGCGAAAGTGTAATTGTATCGATTAGTGTAAAAACCGTTTACATTTTAACACTTCAGATATCATATTTTATCAGTCTCAAACAAATACCTCATGACATTTGACAAATGTACGAGATGTATAATATCTTATATGTTTTGACAGCACGAACTGAAACTCAAATTTCTAATAATGTTAACAACATAAATATATCTTCTTTTTGTTTACTCATTGCCCGGATTTTTTCACAATACACCACGGTCACAAAATAATGATGAGCAAATCGTACATGAAAATAAATAGGCCTATGTTGAAGGGAACGGTGGTTTATTATCAAAAAATATTAATTTCTATATTTTGTTCGGTTAAAGCTGAAGCTTATTCAGGTCTTCCTTTAGTTCTGTTTATCGCATCCCACTTCATCCGTGTTTACTGAGTGATAAACCATTTGAGCCTAATTTATTGCCTTATTCCTACTACTTAATAAATTAATAAAATAATGCCCCGCTATTTCCGACTGGAAGCTAATAGCACTCAATATTTACATTACCTAAGTATCCATCCATCAATCTTCTAGCCGTTAATACTGGTCTGGGTCGCAGTTTTTATGGTAAAAATGTGAAATTAATACGAGTTTATATCTTTTTATTCATAAGCAAACAAACAAAGTCACTATATAAATAAAAACTCTGACTCCGAGTAGTTTTTAAACCTATAAGGTCGTCATTTTAAAAACCGGGTGAAACAAACTTGGTGGGCTATAAAAAAAAGTCAAGCTGATTAAAGTGCTTACGGGCATTAAAATGTTCCTTAATTCAGAAAATAAATAGGTGAACCTTGTGTCTAATCAAATGATATTGCTCATACATTAAATAAACAAAAATATAGTCCACGTCAGCTACTCACTTAATTTCATATGTAACCTAGTTATATTTACTTCGTAAATTATTTAAGCAACACAATATTTATTTATTTTATTGATACCATTATTAAAGGAAGTAATGTGTTGCCGAAATATGTAACATCAATGATTAACATTCCAATTGTAAATTATTCCAGGAGCACAAACGCATTACGGGCCGTTCGAACTGTATGCCGTCGGCGGAAATAAATAATCAAATACAAGTGCTGATGCAAAACGTCCATCACAGAAACGGAAAACCGTCATCCTGCTCTTTGATCGGCGTTGCCGTCTGTCCCTTTTCTTTTTATTCTACCAGTAGAAGTAATTCAGCCCGGTATGACTCTCTTATGAATTTCCCAATGACGTAAGCGATGCTGCTCGTTCTCATTGGCTCTTGGGTGAACTGATCACTTATGGGTGCTAAATCCTGCACACCTCCCACACCCCCGCGGGGGGACAAACACCCAAGCATACACGACTACCGTTCATAAATACCTGAATGAGCAGTCCCAGAGAGCGACAACTCACGGAGTGAACGACACATCACAGGTTAATTCAGTTGCCTAATTAGACTCAAATACCTGCTGAGAGAATTTAATATGAATTCAAAAGTTGATGGACCACGCAGAGGAAGATCCTTCGATTCTATGAACACATGTTTTGAAGAGAAGCATCTGAACAATGAGGTGAGGTGTCCTGAATGTGTGCATTAGAACAGAGGTGGAAAGTTCAGGTTCAGAGATAAAAAATCCAGACCAAGATTTTGTTTCAGCTAAGCAGCTGAGCGCTCTGTAAGTGTGGCTCTTTATGCGCAACTTGTTGGCTGAGACAAAATCCTATTCTGGATTTGTACTTTCTGAACCTGAACTTTCCACCTCTGCATTAGATTTAACTATGAAATGTTTGCATGACATAATGTAGGTGACGTACATTAAAACGGGACTTTAATAGGCTGTTCCGCTTTATCGTAACCAAAGGCACTCACATTTTCTATTCATTAAAAACCTCTCACTAATTAAGTCACTTCTGATAAGCGGGACTAAGCCTATCTGAAGGACACGGCTTCAACGCCGGGTTAAGCGTTATGAAGGAATATTATCACAAACTTGCATGGAGAATAAAAACTGCTTAATATTTAACTTTCTTTGATGCTTATGATTTTACACAATAGATTTCTTTAAACACTTTAACCCTTTCTTTAAGGTGTATACGATTGTTGACAAAGGAGATCTGTAGGTGCTTGTCTCAGAAAAAGGGTAATTAAATACCAACCACGTATAATCATATTAAATATGCGTCTGTCCTTAATGAAAGCATTGGAAGTTTTCGAACACTTGTAATATCAACATAAACATGTTGTAATAAAAACAGTTATTCTGTTTTTATAAATGCATCGATGTGATTGAAAGTGATGAATAGTCAAATTATGAAGTGTTGCCTTAGACTGATGTACACGATTTTTATAAGATGCAGAAGCCAGAGACTTTTGCTTTAGACATTCGCAAATCTTGGGATAAGTAACTGAACAATCTAACCTTTTCTGCAAAATTAAATTCATTTCCCTCTGAACTCATTAACCCCGTGGTATATCAGTTTATACCAATATAACACCTTTCACGAAGCAGGATTTCTTAGCTGGATTGAATTTAACTAGAAATCATGTTCGTCCTATAAGAGTTTAGGTAAGGAGCATTCCTATTGGACGTTCATGAGTTACAGTTTAAATTAACCCAGTTGACTGAGAAATCCTGCTACGTGGTTCACCCCTTATTTAGCTGTGAAATGGACTGTAACCTTTTCCTTTTTAATACAGTAAGACGTTTTTAAAGATTGATATAACTGTAAGTCTTTTTATTTATATTGAAGCAGAAGTAAAAGTACTACCTAAATAGTTTGCTATTTTTTCAGTTTTAATGTTTATTTGGTTGCATCAAGCTAAACAAACATCAAGAAAGACTATATCATCACACTATAAACTGTCGACTTTCCCCTGCAAAATATAAAATCTTGTTTAAATAATACTTTTAAAGGCAGTGTTATCTGCAATAGTCTTGGTGTGAAGTGATGGATGATTTTAATTCCATTGCGTAATCAGATATGGGACATGCTGGGATTATCTGGGACATTTTTTGCAACAGCCTTGTGTGTCTTTAGGAAATTTTCAATGAGATATCTCCAATGGCTGTGTGCCTCATTAAATACAGACAGCTATTGGTGTAGTGGCCAGACAACTGCATTTAGGATCAACTCATTTACCACAAACCATGTAGTTCCAGGCCTATGTAGTCCCAGTAATATCTGACAGTGAAACAATTTAAATTGATCAAAAATTCTAGGAGAACTATGGGAATCAGGTGCGAAACAGAAAAATTCAACTGGCAGATTATTCAGACTCCTGTGTGGTTTTCTCATGGGCAGATGAACAAATCTGTGTTCAGCAAGATTGAGGAGAATAAAGACAACAAGAACTTGTCCTCAGAGAGGAGCCGAGCAGAAATCATATTCTCCCTGAAGAATGAAGTCGGCGGACTTCTGAAGACACTTAAGCTTTTTCAGGTAGAAGATTATCTCTGTGTCCATGGTCATTCAGCTAATCACCATTTTTGAAAACAGAAGAATTCACATCTCTATTCTAATTCTTTGTCTGCAGATATTGACAGTTCTCTTCATACAGCTTTACCATACGTAGCTTGTTTTTCATATATAATGGTTCTTTAATAGTGCTGAACTCTGGTTTGATTACAAAGATTATTTAGCTGATGCTAATGTTTTTTAATTTGATTATTAGGAGAACCACGTCAACCTTGTTCACATTGAGTCCCGGAAATCAAAGCGGCGTAACTCAGAGTTTGAGATCTTTGTGGACTGCGACAGTGAGCAGGAGCAGCTTAATGAAATCATCCAGCTGTTACAGAAGCGCGTGAAGGTCATCAACATGAATGCTCCTGACAACTCCTGTCTGCCTGAGGAAGGTACACCCACAGCAGCGTAATGGACCAGTTTGTGCCACCACAGTACAAGCTGAAGAAAGATTTAAACTTTAAAATATGATCATTCCTATTATGATTTCAGTGCCAAAAATACTAATGGATTTATTCAAGATGCAAACCTGATTTTTTCCAGATTTGGTTGACGTTCCATGGTTCCCCAAGAAGATCTCCGACTTGGACAAGTGCGCCAATCGCGTCCTGATGTACGGTTCGGACCTTGATGCTGAGCACCCGGTGAGTTGTGCCGCCTAATTTCTAGAGTATGGAAGACTTTCAGAGGTGCTCGATACACCAAGCACACTGTTCACTCAGGGCCCGGTGCTCTTTACACAGGGCTTCAAGGATAACGTCTATCGCAAGAGGAGAAAGTACTTTGCTGACCTGGCCTTAAGTTACAAACAGTAAGTCTGTGATTTTAATGGGGATATTTTCTTCTACAGCTAATAGAACATATGTAGTTGTGGAGATCTTGTGAATTGCAAACTTCCGCTTTTCTGTCTGAGCAAGTAAAGCAAATGTTTAGGCCACTACTCACATGCCATTTTTAGAATTAATGGATAGTGTTTATATACATGCAATTTAGCATAATGATAATGAGCTAAATGAAATTTGATACACCCAGTGCTGCCTTTTAGAGAAAAGCATAAATAATTACAAAACAAGAATAATTTTACTATTGTATAAACTATCATGATCATTTTTAAATATCTTTTTAATATCTGCATATGTGTGTCATCCAATACTATCTATGGGCTTGTTGTTAAAGTGGTATTTGTAATAAATGTTATGGTTGCAGTATTTTACTGCATATATTTTATTTATTTTGGTATGTTATTAAAGAAGCTTTAGCAGATAGATTAAAAATGTGTGTTGGTTCTGTTCTTCATGTAAAATATAACCATAGATTATCTTAGTGATCTCAAGCATGAACATATAGGTCTGTTTAACCACTCGGAAAAGTGATTGTGGTAATTGATAAATTGAGTATGTGAGAGTGCTATTCATGTGACACTCCCTTTTGGCAGTGGGGACCCCATACCTCGTATCGAATTCACGGAGGAGGAGGTGAAGACGTGGGGGGTGGTGTACAGGGAGCTGAGTAATCTGTACCCCACCCACGCCTGCCGGGAGTACCTGAAGAACCTGCCCCTGCTGGCCACATACTGCGACTGCAGGGAGGATAACATCCCGCAGCTGGAGGACGTGTCGCGCTTCCTCAAAGGTGAGAAACAGAAGCTGCACTATACCAGGCTCCATACCCAGCCCTACACTGTATAGTGTCAGTGAGTCTATTCTGTATCCAGCCCTACACTGTATAGTGGCAGTGTATCTATTCTGTACCCAGCCCTACACTGTATAGTGGCAGTGTGTCTATTCTGTATTCAGCCCTAAACTGTATTGTGTCAGTGTGTCTATTCTGTACCCAGCCCTACACTGTATAGTGGCAGTGAGTCTATTCTGTATCCAGCCCTACACTGTATAGTGTCAGTGTGTCTATTCTGTATTCAGCCCTAAACTGTATTGTGTCAGTGAGTCTATTCTGTACCCAGCCCTACACTGTATAGTGTCAGTGTGTCTATTCTGTATCCAGCCCTACACTGTATAGTGTCAGTGAGTCTATTCTGTATCCAGCCCTACACTGTATAGTGGTAGTGTATCTATTCTGTATCCAGCCCTACACTGTATAGTGGCAGTGTATCTATTCTGTATCCAGCCCTACACTGTATAGTGGCAGTGTGTCTATTCTGTATCCAGCCCTAAACTGTATTGTGTCAGTGTGTTTATTCTGTATCCAGCCCTACACTGTTTAGTGGCAGTGTGTCCATTCTGTATCCAGCCCTACACTGTATAGCGGCAGTGTGTCTATTCTGTGTCCAGCCCTATACTGTATTGTGTCAGTGAGTCTATTCTGTGTCCAGCCCTATACTGTATAGTGCCAGTGTGTCTATTCTGTATCCAGCCCTACACTGTATAGTGGCAGTGTGTCTATTCTGCATCCAGCCAAATACATGACAAATGACAAATACCATTTTAAGAAATGTTTTCTCAAGGTTACCATAGCAATATGCTCCTGAGCAAACTGTTGCCAGCCTCAGATACTGTGTGTTGCTTTCTTGCATGACAGCAGCCTGAATGTGTGTTTCAGAGCGCACAGGCTTCACCATCCGGCCCGTAGCCGGCTACCTGTCCCCCCGAGACTTCCTGGCGGGCCTGGCTTTCCGCGTCTTCCACTGCACGCAGTATGTGCGGCACAGCTCTGACCCGCTGTACACCCCAGAGCCGTAAGTCCCTCCCCCGCCGTCGCTAATGCTAACCTGCATGGCTGCTCAGTCTGGGTCTTTTGTTTGATGAGCGTCCCCTGAATTTGGGCTGCCGTGTAGGGTGGTAATGGAGCTGTCAAGGCAAATTCGCTGCGCAGTTGCATGAAGCCTTTGCTTTGCTCCTTACAACAAATTTGTAGCAATCAGCTCAGTCCTTTGTCAATTTATTCACAAAAAGAATTGAAAGCTGCTTAAATAAAACATTCCACAACCAAAAAAACTGAAGCTATTTGGCAGTATTGTATAGTATTTATTTATTGCGTGTATGTATGTATGATGTTGTATGTACCCAGTCCTGCTGCAGAGATGCTAACTACTCACTCATCTGCATATTTATGTATTAACATTTAAAGTGTAATTAAAGTCTAATGTGAAACGCAGTTACTATTATGTCTGACCTCCTCTGCCTGGTTCCAGAGACACATGTCATGAGCTGCTGGGTCACGTGCCCCTACTGGCAGAGCCCAGCTTCGCCCAGTTCTCCCAGGAGATCGGGCTGGCCTCGCTGGGGGCCTCCGACGACTCGGTCCAGAAGCTGGCCACGGTGAGCGCTCCCACCTCGTCCTCCGCCGCCAGCTGTTCTCATGGCTGTTCTCATGGCTGTTCTCATGGCCACGTTGAGGTTCCATTAAGGTACATCTGGTACTTCTGTTACAGTGCTATTTCTTCACGGTGGAGTTTGGCCTGTGCAAACAGGAGGGGAAGCTCAGGGCCTATGGGGCCGGACTGCTGTCCTCCATTAGCGAGCTGAAGGTACGCAAAAGGATTTTTTTACTGTGTATCAGCCTGTATTATCCTACATCACATGATGAGACTATAACTGGCTTTCATATCAAACAGTGTTTCATTTAAAACTCTCAATATATGCATTTCCACAATATTCCCTCTACAGTTAGCCATGTATTGTTGTATAAACAGGCAGCGGTTTTGTGAAAAGCGTATTCAATTTACAAAACAACTAAGCAAACATACAGCTGTTGGCTGGTCCTGTAAAATCGCACAGTTGAACGTAGCATTGTGCCAGCTTTTATAACTTGTAATTAATCATTAAGAAGCATAGGCCACATGCATCACACACAATGACCAGCAGTGTTTGCGTAATGCTTTTGTGTGTTTAATAGATGCACAGCTCACTGCACCACAAAATATGCCAGTCACTATTATCTTTCAATCTTGCTGAGTCGCCCACCATCTGTCAAACCCCATGCAGTTGTGCTTACATAATTTATACACTTCTGCATGGTCTGATGGTAGTAAATACAGCCACCTCCTTATCATGTCTTTTTTGCATGAAATCATAGAGGGCTATGCTGTGCCATTCTTTCTTCTGAATGATTATTGCATCCCATTGCAGCACGCCCTCTCTGGGAATGCCAGGATTATGCCCTTTGACCCAAAGACTACCTGCAAGCAGGAGTGCCTCATCACCACCTTTCAAGATGTATACTTCATGTCAGACAGTTTTGAGGAAGCGAAAGTCAAAATGAGGTAAGAAGACATGTCACTTTGCAGCCATCTGCAGCCAGTAGACCGAGTACGTAGCCAGTAGACCGTGTACGCAGCCAATAGACCACGTATGCAGCCAGTAGACCGCGTACGCAGCCAATAGACCATGTATGCAGCCAGTAGACCGTGTACGCAGCCAATAGACCACGTATGCAGCCAGTAGACCGCGTACGCAGCCAATAGACCACGTATGCAGCCAGTAGACCGTGTACGCAGCCAATAGACCACGTATGCAGCCAGTAGACTGTTTTGCATTCAGGAGACCCATTTCTGTTTAAAAGAAAAACAAAACACAGCCCTGTGTATGATGTAATTTTGTCTGTTGAACAGGGAGTTCGCTAAGACCATCAAGAGGCCTTTCACTGTGCACTACAACCCCTACACCCAAAGTGTGGACGTGCTGAAGGACACGCCCAGCATTCTCAGCATAGTGGAGGAGTTGCGTCACGAGCTCGACATCGTGGGCGACGCACTCAGCCGACTCAACGAGCAGCTTGGGTTGTGATACCCGGCTGGACCCCCAGGTGCTGATCCCCGGGTGCTGATCCCCGGGTGCTGATCCCAGCCGTCATGCAGACATCATGCTCCTTTCCAAACCCAACCCTACAATCCAGAACAACCAAAGATTCAGCTAATGAGATAGAAACCTCCAAAATATCTTTCGCCGTTTAACTTGCATTAAGATTAACAACCTATGGGAGAGTCAAATGTAGTATCCTTTATCCTGTAAGCAACTGGTAAATGCATTACTTCTTTGTATTCAGATCCTGCATTTGTTGTCTCAGATCAAATCAGTAGCTCCCAGCCTGTCCATCTCTGAAGCATGCTTAGACAATCTGTAAAACATTTTACACTATACATGTCAAATGTTCAAGGTCTGTAGTAACTAACAGTGTTAAAATATTGGTTTGTGTGTTTATTTTTGATTTTGAATATTGATGATTAAATATTCCTGATTGTATATATGCATTTCAGTTGTTGCTGTTTCTTTTTATTTGCTGCTTGCTGGACCTGCAGATTCTAAACACGTTTGCAGATGTGAGTGACCTTTTTGACAGGTACAATTACAGCTTTTAGGCCTCTTTCACAAAGTAATTATAATGACTAATATTTAATTATAAAAGCTGATTAGGAATAAATCCCCAAATTCATGATTCCACATCCAATGATTTATTTAGCCATATGCGTCCACTGTGACATCAAATGAGGCGATATCAAATATTGGTGGCTGACCAACACTCAGTTTAGCCTGTTAAATAATGTCAGATTTAGTTATGTGTCTGGTTAATTAGCATATACTCGATATATGCTGACTAATACATTATATATAATCCTGTACATAAATAAATATGTAGTCCAACCGGGACACCTTGCATATGCCTGTGACTTCCCATATGACTGACTTATTCTGTATATAACAACCAACCATAATTGTTGCCCTTTTTCGGATATAACGAAATACAGTGATCCCGCCTATCGCAGAAGTTACGTTCCAGACCCATCCTTATATAAGTAATCATTTTAAAATAGTTTAAGCCGTAAATCGTAGGGCTTAAAACAAAACGAAAAGTTCACAATTAGTTTGCTCACAACATGCAATCGGACCACAAGCAAGGTACATGATAAGCAGAGGACTGTGATGCGTCGGGGAAGAATCCGCGGTATAGCGGGGGGATCGCTGTATGTTACAGTTTCATTCATTTATTTTCTCTTTCATGAAATTTTATTAAATAAATGTGGCGCGAAATGAAAAAAAAAAACAATAAAGCATAAAAATTTGCTACTGTGTTACTATCTCGTGATTTATTGGAATTTTGTCATCGTTGTCAGTTCCTTTTTCCACTGAGGCAATGGTAAAAGTGAGATCTGTGATGGCAGTGAAGATGTGGGTTCAATCTGAACTTTGATATGAATGATGCAAACTGGCTTGCATTTAGGGCAGGCAGAACAACGAGATCCTTCTTCCATTTACTGGTTTACAGCGACACCTAATGTCAGCTTCGCACTGACGGGGCTGCCTAATATCGGTCTTTCCCAAGTCAGGTCACATGATAAAATCTACAGGCTGAAGAATGAAAGACGTGAACAACCGAGAACGCTCACGTATATTTATCACGTTAAAAAAATAGGTAATTGGCAATTCCACATTAGGGAAATGCAGGGACGTTGGCAATAACACATCCCTGCGTCCCCGACTAAGACGAGCAGACGTACAAATAGAAAATTAAATATCTGTATTTAATACAGTCATTGCTTCAATTTCTGATAGACTTTTATACATGTAGTATCCAACGAAACTTTGTGTCACTGATGACAGGGTATACTAAGTGTCCCATGTGAGGACGTCAATCCTGTACACACAGGTAGCGTTTATCTTATCTCTTGCAGAAATAAAACAGCGATGTTATATTTGGGGCTCTCGACCACCAGGGGGAGCTAACACCTTGATGAATCACAGAGCACTTCATTCAAAATAATTCGCCTGGTCTAAATAATCCAGGTACTTGTTAATTGACAGTTCTCGTGACGACAACAATACTGAATTATATTTTTGATGTTTCTAAATGCTAATATAAGTGTAAGTAATATCATAGGAGGCGGGGATGCAAACCTGTCGTTTCTGCTGTATTTATCAATGATTTGATTAAGATCTTATGATACTAAGTGTATGTATTATTAACAGCATATTAACAGATTCGGTTTTAAAGGTGCTAAAACAAAGGCAATATATCATAAGTTACACAGACGATAATTTATATTAAATCGAAACCCGAAACGGTTCCAGAAATCTGACAAACAGCATGATTTGCTTAAATGGATTCACGTCCACGCTCATATTGTGTTATCATATCCAACCTCATTTATTAAGTATTGGACTTTCTTGCACGTTTTGGATCACTACCAAAGATTTCCCTCTTAGCAGCACGCTTGCTAGCCATGTTCTCATATAGGCTGCACACAAACTATATTTTTATGCGGTTGTTTTACGGATAGGAACAGTGTAAAAGAGACAACCTGACCGCAATACGACAGTTTCCCAACGATCCATTCGCACTGAACGGACTACGGCGTCACTATGTGATTTGTCTAATTTAAGGGAAAAAATGACACTCTGAACTGGAGTTATTCTTCCGTATTTTAAACCGGCAGTCCACGGTGTCTTCGGAAATTTACAAACCGTGTAAGCTATTAATAATGTAAAGAGAAAAAACAAAGCAACATAATTGCGGTGTAATACTACTTCTCGCGGAACGTCGTTGCCATGGCAACACAAAGGTTCTCGCCATTCGTTTGGGTCAGTGGCTTGGGGCTTCAGTGTTTGCAGTGTTTTCAAAATTATTTTGGCGTACTTTACAAAATAGTAATGGAAAAGCCACTCGGTCATAGTTTGTATGTGGGGGAGAAAAATAACCGAAGGTTGTCTGGTTTAGAGCCTCGATAAATTAGAGCTATGTATTTGTAAACAAACTGAAATAGAAAAAAAAACAGTTCTTGGTGAAGACCACATTGTGCTGCTATAGAAACAGAAAAACACACCGGAAAGTGGACAATAATAAAGAAAAGGCTATGTGAACTGTATATTACGTTTATACAGCTAGATACTTACCAGGAAAACTGATGTTCAGAATGCAAAATATTTCATGATAATAACCATGTGGCAGAATTTGGGGTGCAATGCTTGGTGTTGGACAGTAGGTGGGGAAATTGTACCGATATCACACACTTTAGCGAGCCTTGCACACGGGCTCCGGCTAAGTACCATGCAACATCACTAATATCGAACAATTACCATTACCGATGTGTGCAGGAAGAGCAGAATGGAGTAGAAATAAAGCTGTAGAGCACTTCACAGTGAAACGTGTGCTGAAGTCAGATGCCGGGCCTTGTGTTCAGCTCAGTCCACAATACTCATATAAACATTTATTCATTTGAAGGATTGAAAATAGATTAAAACAAAAAAAAAACAGGAAATAAAAAGGATCTATGGAACTTCCAGCTGCAGAGTTTTATCTCGAAAATATACAGGTATCGCCATACCTGTATATCGCCATACCTGTATATCGTCATACCTGTATATCGCCATACCTGTATATTTCCTGGTGGCACCATTTATTAATCTCTCACCTTTGTCCACTATATCTCTGACCGCTTGTACCTGTTTCTGCAGGAATTCCATCTCTAGCCAGTACCGTGGACGTTCTGACCACATCCACTGCACAGCCACACATTGACCTTCCCTTGCCCTTAACATAAATAATAGAGCCCGTCTCCTTCACATCCTAACATACAGATCACCCCATATTGTCTGAATACCGCACACCCTAAGGGCAACTTTCTCCACGCCACAAAAATCCCATTAATCCAGCTCTCTAGGATGGAAAAAAAACAAGGAAGAAAGTATGGGAAAAAAGTATGTGAATCTGGCACACATCCTTTATTACTGAAGAGAGACTAACCTCAATAATGAGGGATGTTTCCCATACTGATCATTTGTTAGAGAGTATTGTGTTTATAGTTCCACTCACACAGGCAGTCCCTCTTTGTCAATAATAAATTGCATCCTGTGCCATTTTCTTTATTGTGTCAGACAGGTAGGGATGTTCATAGTGCTCATAGGCTTATTGGCCTTCAACAACTGAAGTGACTTCAATCCAAGAGAATGCAAGAGATTAGCATTGTGCAGACCATGAGCTCTGCTTCTAGGAGGGGGAGATCTGCATCATTACCCCAGGAGAAAGACATTTGTTGTAGCATGAGAACCAGAAGCCATCTCTTAACAAGTACAGGGAGGGGTCAACCAAGGGTTAGCACTCCCCCCACATGATAGACAGATGGGTCCTTGGGAAATGTAGTGAAGTATGTGGGGGGGTGACAAGAGCAAAGAAATCTCACACACTCTCAAAATGAAAACGCATACACAAACCCAGGCCTTATTCACGAATTGCATCCGAAGTTTACGAAGTCTCAGTGGAGATTTAGCACACATGGAAGTTAGTAATTGTAATGGATATCTTCTGGCTTATGTTCACACATCTGTGGGTTACATGAAAATAATGGGCCACATTAAAACACTCAAGTCACATAAAAATATATTAAATGTATGACGTGTAGTGTGATCTGATATAATGTGTACAGTATGTGGTAGCAGTCGATGCGGCATGAAGAATGCCTAAAGCGCTATAATAAGTGCCTATTCCGGCTTTTCCACCCACACTGGTACCTGCACACTGTCCTTTCACAGTGTCAAAGTGGGGGAACCACTGAGAGTAATTACCGAGCGGGTTCCCAAAAAGCCAGAGGGGAGGATGCAATTGATATAAAGGAAGCAAAAACACAAAAGCAAGGTCATTCAAAGGTCACACACAAATAAAATTCCCCGCAGGCAGTAGCTCACAAAAACAGCAGCGGTGATGGCGGATGACAGGGGTACCTCCACCATAATCTCAGGGACCACTGAATCACCGGCAAAAACACCCAAACACATGCGCAACACTGTAGCACGCACACTCCCATTGTGAGCGTGCAGCGTAAGCCTTCTTATCTCGTTTATTTATGCCCTATAATGCATCCTTTTATAGAAAATAATGGATGGTGATGACAGCGTGTGGCACTCATGATGTCCATGCAAACACCAAAGGAGATCAGGAGAGCAGCTTGGACACTCCCTCTGTTGGTCTTCAGTTGGTCTATCCATCTGTTCACTGGTTTGCCACAGGTTCCAGAACTAGACTGGAAACCCTGCCTTATGCCACCCAGGCTATCCTTCCAAATAACTACCTGTATTCTCATATGTTACAGATTGTTCTTGATTTTAGAATAACATTTTCCACCTGCAGATAACCGCTACGAACGCAGTTTCCACTCATTTTAATGCAATCATTGACTTTGCTGCTAATAGATCCTTGAAAGGTAAAATTGGTGTTTGGTGTAAACCTCATCTTCGCGTCTTTAGATCAGGTTAATATGTCTGCCCTTCCAGACAGTTGTCTGATGTAAAAAATGCATGTGTGTTCGTGTTCTTTTTTGATAACGTACAACATCTGTTATCATTTATGGAATGATGAATATAGGCCAGGTTAGTGCATGCCCTCTAACACTGACAGACAGTCCGCGTGTATGATTCACAGTCCCTGATTGTTTTTAGATGGCTTTCTCAGCCTCGGATTGCTGTCCTCTCGCTTCCGCCCCTTTCTCTCTCCCCCTCCCCCTCCCCCATCACCCCTCAGTCTATCAGGGTGCCCAAGAGCGAGAAAGAGTGGGATAAAAATAACACACAGTAAAGAGGATAAGGAGGACCCCCCAGCCAGACCAATTAACCGATTTTGAAGGTTTAACTGTTCTTCATTAAAATTTAAAAATCTGCCTACCATCCCATCTTTCCTCGTGCCAGAGAAAGAATACGAGCTGCTTATGGGACAATTAAGCAGTGTATTGTTAATTTATGATATAAAACTCCCTTGTGGTTTGATTACAACTTGTTCATTCC